CCTTTGTGCCAGGATACAAGCTTGGATTTTATCCAGCAAAGCTAATGCTGAATCACTGTAATGCTGCTTCAATCAGGTTTTTCAGAGCTACGTTGTAAAACATAACTGAGGTGTAAAATCAACTTGGTGAGTTGGGACCCTCATTTTAAAAAAGTAAACTAGAAGACAGTAGACAGTATCAGTGCACATATTTATAAATAATGTGATGCTTTTGTTTCAACAATATATATGTATACACATCAATACTGTGTTCTGATGTAAATGTATTTTGATCTGCGGCTCATAGTAAAAATAATTTTGGAGAAACACTAAAGATTCAACACTACAAAACATTGTATCAGATTACTTTTGGTAGCAATTCATAGAAAAAACTCAAGCACAAATGGGAATAATCATTAAAGATTCTTATTATATAGTATCTTTTAGTTGTTCTGACCTACCATTTTCAGTATCATCTTCAGCCTTGAGCCAGTTCCCTGTTTATCAGAATAATATGTGATCTTAGTCTTACAGAGCCTGGATTCTCACTGCCTCAAATTATTTACGACCTCTCTATCTCTGAATCCATCAATAGCCAGGGGGTGGAAGTACCATGACTGCCTTTAGACTAATCTGGGGGGTTTGTTTGGGAATCAACCCACTACAGGAAACTGTAACGTAAGCTGGTAAACTCAGTGCATTATGGAAATACTGTAGTGGCACCTAGGGTCACTAAGTAATAAATATAAGTTTGGAGATGGTCAGAGCAGTCACCCAAGAGATGCCAAAAGTGTGTGTACAAGTCAGGTAGGTAAAGGCAGAGTTCTCTGGGTGGTAGATGAACAAAATGTATTAAGGGAAGCCACGCACAGGGAAGTGCTAAGTGTGTCTGACTCTTTGTGATCCTATGGATGGTAGCCCGCCAGGCTCCTCTGTCCATGGGGATTCTCCAGGCAAGAATACTGGCATGGGTTGCCATGCCCTCCTCCAGGGAATCTTCCCAACCCAGGGATCCAACCTGTGTCTCTTATGTCTCCTGCATTGGCAGCCAGGTTCTTTATCACTAGTGCCACCTGTGAAGCCCAAGTATAGGGAAACCTCCAAGACTCTGGAACATAAAATTAGAGAAAAGAGAAGTTGGAGCAATGAGCAGATGCCTACTCACTGAGGAGAATCACAGTAAGGAATGTGTACTCCTTCCCTATTGGAAAAGAAGAGCAGAGAATTAAACAGCAGATCCCTATCACTATGGCTGCAGTGTGGAGGGAAGTAAATCAGGGGGCTGTGGGAGTAGTCCAGGAGAGAGGTCTTGGATTTCAGACTAGGGAGGTGTGTTTACAGATTTGAGAAACACTATGGAAATAAATTTCACATGATGTGCTAATTTTACTGCAGAAAATGAGTGTAACATAAGTCTCTGACTTTCGTAGAAGTTTCCTTTGGATACTGGGCTTACACTGCCATTGATCTATTGAGACTAGAGTAAATTTGTTATGTTTTGAGGAGAATGGGCGTAACTTGTGAAGCTGGAGCCTAAACAGAGAATCTTTGCAAGTAGGAGGGAATTTTTAGTATATATGGGCCTCTCTTGGGAGTTTGGAGTTTACTAAACAGACGCAAGCATGGATCTGGGGTCATACTCCACCTATTTAGGTGAAGACTTGCCATTTATAGGCTTGATTAGTGAAACTGCTACATTGTTATTTCCTGGTGTTATCACAGTGTTTGTGTTCAGTCCAGTCCAACTCTGCGACCCCATGGACTGCAGCCCATGAGACTGTCCATGGAATTTTCCAGGCAAGAATACTGGAGTGGGTTGCCATTTCCTACTCCAGAGGATTTTCCCAACCCAGGGACTGAACTCTTGTGTCTTGCACTGGCAGGGGAGTTCTTTACCATTGCACCAATCCCCGAGCCTTTAGTAAATGCTTTAGGATTCTCGTACTCTATCTATTATATAGGCTGAAACAGTTAAGGGGTAGTGTCTCTTGAGACCACTGTGGCACTGGACATGGCCCATCAGGCTGTGAGCTCCCTGATGGCAAAGGTTGTTTCTTCTCAATTCTGTATCCTAGTATGTAGCCCAGGGCTCGACATATGGCCAACATTTGTTAACTAGTGTATCCCTAGTGCCTAAAATGATGCTGAGTACTAGCAGATGCCGAATAAAACACTTGAGGAACTACTGAAAGCCCCAAAGGAAGGTATATTTCTGGGGCCTAAGAGGAAAAGATATGAGAGTCCAGTCATAACCCACCTGTTACCAATACCTAAAGATGTGGTTTTAATTTTAAGGAAAGTACTTTCTCTAGGAGTCAAGACTGACTCCAAGATATCTGGCTGAGGGCAATGAGTTAGTGCCAAAAAGATAGAAAGGGGGCAGATTTTTTTGGAGAAGCATTCAGAGTTAAATGTTTAGTTAATAAATGTTCTAAGTGCCTACTATGTGTCACTCAAAATATAACATCAGAAAGAGCTTTTTTGTAATAGTTTCGAAGACCAACTGGAGTAGAGTAAAAGAGATGAGACCTCTGTTCGGGGCAGATCAGTTTCTCAGACTTAGGCAGCTGTCCTAAAACAGGACCAGAGTAGCTGTCACCGAGGCTAGTATCTGTCTGCTAGACTGGTGAGCTCTCTACCCGCAACGTTATTATCTCAAACAGTGTATGGGTTTGGTGGGCCAAATACCCTCTGAAGGTCTGCCCTAAGATAAAAATCTTTTTTCCACTGTACTAGCAATCTGGGATCTGCTAGGCCCTGCAATCCCGTGTTCGTGCAGGGATGATAGCTCCAAGACTTCCGATGACTATTTCCCAAGTGAAGCCTCTGAGTGTGAGGGATGGGCAGCCTGGCTGGGCCCAGTCTGGCTTCACCGTTCCTAGTGCACATAAAGGAACTTCCTACTTCTCACATCCCCTGACCATTCTGAAGCCGGATTTCCTTCTTCCAAGTTCCCAGAGAGGCCCAGATTTGACAACAATGAAAACTTCCAGGAAATTCCCACGGATTTAACTTCCTAATTTTCCTTCCACTTCAACCTTCTCCTTCACCCCTCCATTCCCACCCCAAGAGGAAGGAGCTTATCCTGCAGTCAACATCCTCTGCTAAATGCTTCCACTCTCCTCGCCAGGTTGGTGATCCTCTCCTCTGAAGTCCATTCAGGGTTTGAGGGGAGCACTTGAGGGTAACATGTGATCCTGTTCAGAAACAGAGGAATGGAACCTTGAAGGTTCCTAGGGTACCAGATTATCAGGGAAAGTTCACTTCTAGATGTTCACCCTACCACCCTTGTCAGGAAGTAATCTTTAAGAAACCCCAGGGGCTCAGTCTTTTTGCTAGATACCAAAACTCAATCACCTATGGGGGCCAGTTTGGAATTACAGAATACATGCCCCATATAACCAGGCATTAAGAAAAACAAAACTGTGTTAATTCAAGACAACCCAGATTAAGAGCCAGAAACATGCCATGAATTTACTATCTCACACAGACGGATGTGGAGTTCTCATTCTCCAGAAATCCAAAGGGGGGAAACCATCAGTCTACATACATACAATGAACTTTTACCTGTTGTGCAAAGAAAAGGTTATCTGGCTCTCAGAAAGTTCTGGGCTCCAGACTCCAATCAGACAGTCCATTTTACAACTCACGCTCCAGTTCTTAGAGCTTAAAAGAGCTCCCAAGGCCTGTGATCATGGGCAATGATGAGGGCCACATGCCCTTTGGCTCCAGTTAAACCTCTGGTGTTTGAGCTAGGCGGGAACTGTGGGTGCTTGCTTCCTGGTCCTGCCGCAGCCCCTGAAGCAGCTGGTTTAGGAGTGTAAGGTTGCTGTCTCTGCGTGGCAGGGGCAGGGGTGGGAGACAGTTCCCTTTGTACTCAATGACTGCCATTTTGGCCCGATCCTGCTGATTCCGATTTGGGATCTGCAGCATTCTCGTGTAGCCCCCATTCTGACCTTGGTACCGAGGGGCCAGTACTTGAAACAGCTTTGGGATCAAGTCTTTCTCCTAGAGGGGGAGAGTTTTCCAGGAGAGAGCAGAGTCAGGCACCATTACCGAGACATTAACTTTCAGCATCCCCAACGGTAGGGTCCAAACACACACCCACCCACATCCCTTCCCTCACCCTCTGACTTGGTATTATAAAGTGATCAATTACAGGCAGTTGTGTAGACTGAGATTCACGTTGAAATCAACGTAGGACGTATCTCTAACTTAGTTCACATTTGTCCGTAAATGCGTGTCTTAATTCCGCCCAGTTCCCTTTCCTCTAACAACTCGATCCCACTTAGGGAGCAAAAAATAAGATCTGGGAAGTGGACAGGATGCACTCACCGTGAGCCAGAAATCAGCCATGCGCATGGCTCGTTCGTTGGTGTCTCCCAGCTTCCCGTAGTCGATGAGCTGTGAGGACACAACATCACTGACCAAAATCCAAGCAAGAAAGGCGTCAATCTTAATCCTCTAATGCCAGACTGCAACCTAATTCGTTCCATACACTAGTAAAGCACGTCGCTAATTCAGGCTACCTCTAACCACGCAGTCCTAATCAGTTCTCCATTTGAGGGGCCCCAGGAGTATACCAGGGCGGTCCCAATTCTTCCCCAACTCCAGCCGGATCTCGCCCCCTGAGGTCAGACCTACGAGAGGAACAAGAGGGTCACGCCCCTTACCTTCTCGGCGTAGCCTCTCAGCTCGTCCACGCGTGCCCATGACGCCTCGATGCGTTCGTGTCGTACCAGTCCCGTAAGCAAGTTCTGCAACAGGTGGATGCGGGACTCGGGACCAAGGCCTAGGCGGCGGTATACGCGGCCGTGGGAGATCGCGGCGGCAAAGGACAGCCGCATGTTCCCAGCTTCTCCCAGCCCCTGTGAGGCCGGAACTGGAAACTCAGAGACGGGGCCGAGAGGCGGAGCTTAGAGGATACACGCGCCTTACGTAGCAGCGTGGTGGACGTGTTTGCGCATGTGTATCAGAGCCTGCCTCGTTGGCAGCCTTGGGGAGGGCGGGGACGGGGCGTTGACCTCGTCCGGAGGAGGAGAGACGGGCGGAGTTTGGTCTAGCGAGCGCTGCTGGTTTGCCCGGGAATCAGGCGCCCCCTAGTGTGGAGTGAGCAGGCCGACGGTTTCTCTGGTGCTGCGACAGTCGTCTTGTGACCCCGCGCTGGGACGCTCCGCCAGGAGCTGGCTGGGAGGGTGAGTAGCTGAGGGGAGAGAGCCTGGCAGTGTTCAGCCTTCAGGCAGGCGGACCCGCTCTTCCTGAGGCGCGGGGCGTCTGACACGGTGAGCGTGTCATTTTGAAAAGAAAATTGTTTTCAGTAGTAATGGCGAAATGAATGGAATAACAGTGATAGGAAAGAAACGGAGATGGTGAAAATTTTCTTTCCTTGAAGTTGTTGACTGGAAAAAAAAAAGTACAACGTGAAAGTTGAGAGTTGTTTAATCTAGCAGACAAAACTGAGGACAAGATCCCAGGACACAGTAGCTAAGTCCGAGAGGCTATGGTGGCAGAGGGGGTTGTAGAAGGGGTTTGGGATGGGTGGGGGCCAGAAAATATAAGAGATTTTGCAGGGAAGACTGGGTAGTTGGAGCATACTCTTAAAGAAAGCCAGATATCTCAAGGAATTTAGTGCTTTTCTATGTATGAGAAGATGCAGGAGTCTAGGCTCACTGAGATCTTGTTTTGATATGCACCCCAACTATTTGGGGCTAGTATCCTGTTTTCTCATCCTGAGTCTCCTCAGGTTGCTCCATTCAGTGAGTGGCTGCAGCGTCTGATGATTCACTGGGGAGGGTTATGTTTCTGTCCTGAGTTTCCTTGGGGTTTACTGTGGTGGAGTGGAGGTGGCTGCAGTGGCTGATGGCTGCAACATCATTTGTTTACTGATGTGGCAGGTGACATTTTTAATTCACAAAGCGCATATAACCATCCTAGTTCAAGAAAAATTACTGTGCTCAAAGGAAAAATAATGATTTAATGTTTCTAAATTCAGTTCAGTTCAATTGCTCAGTCGTGTCCGACTCTTTGCAACACCATGGACCACAGCACACCAGGCTTTCCTGTCCATCACCACCTCCCAGAGTTTACCCAAACTCATATCCAGCTGATTGGTGATGCCATCCAATCATCTCATCCTCTGTCGTCCCCTTCTCCTCCTGCCCTCAGTCTTTGCCAGCATCAGTGTCTTTTCATATGAGTCAGCTCTTCGCGTTTTTTTTTTTTTAATTACGTCACTGTGTTTTTTATCTTAAAAGGGGAAAACATATGTATGCATTTATGTGTTAAAGAAATGAACGATAACATTGTAGTTTCTGGTTTTGAGCCTTTGTGTCGGCTGATTTGCAATGACTTAATCAAAATTGTTCCTTGTTTTGTATTCAGATGTGTCCCCCGCAAAAAAAAATATGCTAAGTCCTACCCCACCCCCACACCTCCTGTATCTCCTTCACCCAATACCTCAGGATGTGACTTTCTTTGGAAATAGAGTTCTTGCAGATGTAATTGGTTAAGATGAGGTCATAGTGGACTAGTTCAGTTGCTCAGTTGTGTCCCACTCTGCGACCCCATGGACTGCAGCTGGACTAGGGTGGATGCCTAATCCAAAATGGCTGGTGTCCTTGTAAAAGAATACTTGTGAAGAGACAGAGACACACAAGGAGAATGCCATGTCACCAGGAAGGCAGAGATCAGAGTTGTCTAATGCAAGACAAGGATTTCTGGCAAACATAAGAAACTTAGGAGCAAGTGAAACTGTCAAGTGTCCTGTTGGGAGGCTCTGAAGAGTTGTGATCCTTTATGTCTCAGTGCAGAAAGAATTCAGCGAGAGAAAAAGTGAAAGATAAGAACTGGCTTATTAGAATAGGACGCTTGTGAGACTTATAAGCAGGCAGACACGAGGTTGTTGTACCCCAAGAACTTGCTGGGCTACAGTTTTATAATCAAAAAAGTGAGGAGGAGAAGAAGACTTCCTTGTCATTCTTGAGTAGAGGTCATGCTTCCATCATTTGTTCCTCCTCCAAGGGAAGTTTTCTTGTCCCTACATGGTCAAACTAGGTTCACAAATTATTGTTTTTTATGTGTGCACAGAGCATGTCCTAACTTACTGAGTTCATTGGTCAGGATGTGGGGCTCATGCTACCATTGTTTTTTTGTTTGGGGTCATGTCTCTTACTTCTGTTATGTGGTTTTGTTGCTAAGCAAGCCTGCTTGGTTTTGTGGTTAAGCAAACCTGCTTTCTTGAGTAATCATTAACTGACAGAGGTCTCCCATGTATTTTCTACTCGCAATACCCTAGTGGGATTAACTATTTAATCACCTACTTCTTTCCTTTACTCTGTCCCTGTCACAAGATATGGAAGATTCTTCCCTAGATACTTCAGAGAATACTTGGCCTAGCTGACAAGTTGATTTTGGACTTCTGAACTATAAGATAGTAAATTTCTGCCCAGTTTGTGACATTTTGTTACATAAGCCCTAGACACATATTCATGTTTGTTAGAAAACATATTTATATTTGTCATTCTGTTTTCCTCTTAGGTAAACAGAGAACACTTCTTGTTAATTTTAATTTTGAAAAATTTCTTTAGTCTGAAGCAATAATTATGCAAATCGGAAAAGTCTTAAACATATGGACATGTTGGCAGAAAATTATACAAACCACAGTTCACAATAAATTCCAGAAGTTGCAATATTCTCTATGTCTCATTTATTTGGGATTAATTCTTGCAGCTTTCAGTTATCTCCACATTTCACTATAACATCATCATCAGAAAATTCATCCTAAATTTCTACTGGTAAAAATTGGGTAGATTTTCTTCTTTGCAAAATTCAGAGAAATTGAACATTGACACTGGTGTTATTGATCCATTGCTTTAAAAAAGGAATATCCACATGGTGAAAATGTACAGCATCTCAAACATTGTCCTTATTAATTTAGGTTGGTGCAAATGTAATTGTGGTTTCGGATCACAAATTTTGAATCATTATAACTAGGCTCAAACACATATTTATTAATCAAAATATGAACCAATACAATCAACACATTTTTGCCAATGAGGGATAAGTTTATTTATTCCTGTAGTGTAAAAATCTGTGCTTTGGGATTGGTCAAACTCCTGGAAAGCATTTTGCGCCTCCTGCTGGTTGTGGAAGCGTTTTCCCTGCAGAAAGTTTTCGAGATGCTTGAAGAAGTGATAGTTGGTTGATGAGAGGTCAGGTGAGTATGATGGATGAGGCAAAACTTCACAGCCCAATTCATTCAACTTCTGAAGCATTGGTTGGGCAGCATGTGGTCAGGTATTGTCATGGAGAAGAATTGGGCTCTTTCTGTTGACCAATGCCAGCTGCATGTGTTGCAGTTTTTGGTGCAACTCATCTGTTTCCTGGAAGGACTGATGCTGAAGCTCCTGATGCAAAGAGCCAACTCATTAGAAAAGACCCTGATGTCAGGAAAGATTGAAGGCAAGAGGAGAAGGGGACGACAGAGGACGAGATGGTTGGATGGCATCACCGACTCTATGGACATGAGTTTGAGCAAGCTCCAGGAGATGAAGGACAGGGAAACCTGGCATGCTGCAGTCCATGTGGTCTCAAAGAGTCAAACATGACTGAGTGAGTGAACAACAAATCAATTTGCTGAGCATACTTCTCAGATATAATGGTTTCACTGGGATTCAGAAAGCTATAGTAGATCAGACTGACTGTAGACCATAAAACAGTGACCATGGCCTTTTCTAGGTGCAAGTTTGGCTTTGGGAAGTGCTTTGGACTTCTTCTTGGTCCAAGTACAGAGCTGGTCCAAGTACAGAGCTGGTCATTGCCAGTTGTTATATAAAATCCATTTTTCATCACACATCACAATCTGATTGAGAAATGGTTTGTTGTTATTGCATAGAATAAGAGAAGATGACACTTCAAAACATTGATTTTTTGTTTTCTGGTTAGCTCATGAGGCACCCACATACTGACTTTTTTCACCTTTCCAATTTGCTTCAAATCCCAAATGACTATAGAATGGTCGACGTTGAGTTCTTTGGTAACTTCTTGTGTAGTTGTAAGAAGACCCACTTTGATGATGACTTGCAGCTGGTCATTGTCAGCCTCTGATGACTGGGCAATACACTCCTTGTCTTCCATGCTCTCATCTCCTTTGCAAAACTTCTTAAACCACCACTGCTTTGTACATTTGTTAGCAGTTACTGGGCCAAATGCGTTGTTGATGTTGCGAGTTGTCTCCTCTGCTTTACAACCCATTTTGAATTCGAATGAGAAAATCAATTGAATTTGCTTTTTGTCTAAAATCTTTTCTGTAGTCTAAAATAAGTATAAAATAGACAGCTGCTGCTGCTAAGTCACTTCAGTTGTGTCCAACTCTATGCGACCCCATAGACGGCAGCCCACCAGGCTCCACCATCCCTGGGATTCTCCAGGCAAGAACACTGGAGTGGGTTGCCATTTCCTTCTCCAATGCATGAAAGTGAAAAGTGAAAGTGAAGTTGCTCAGTCATGTCCAACTCTTAGCAACCCCATGGACTGAAGCCCACCAGGCTCCTCCATGGGATTTTCCAGGCAAGGGTACTGGAGTGGGTTGCCATTGCCTTCTCCAAAAATAGACAGCAAGTAATGTCATTAGCAAAAAAACATAAAGCAAGAAATGCACTTTAAAATGATAGCTAACATAACCACATTTATTTAAGAATGTATTCCAATATCAAATGGTAAATTTCAACAGTGCAAACCCACAATTACTTTTGCACCAACTTAATATTTTTTGTCTGTTTGAGACTGTCATCTCTTGTTTGTTCTCCTGGCAGTACTCATATTTTGATTCTTTTTGTCTATGTCACTTTCCTTACATTATGTTGGTGCATAGTTAATGGTTTTTATACAATTTTGTGGATGATGTTCAGGGAACAATTTTAAACCTTGGTGTCTTACTGGTGTCCAAGGCATAATCTGACTGTTTGCAGATACTTTTGTGTCTGATTGACCTCACTTGAAACTTCATCTCAAAACAAAAAATAACTCAGGAAAGAAAAATCTTACATAACTAGGGTTATTTTAAATTTATAGTTTTAGAAGCAGGGCTATGTTCTATCACGAGGATTGGAGGCACAAAATGTACCTGATGTGAGCTTGAAAGATAACAGATTGTTATGAGTTTATCAGTACTGTGAAAAGTAAGATATGTGGCCGAATCTGACTATGTAACTGATAGTTTTTCAAATTAATTTGCCTGTGGAATAAGATGTTTCAGTGGATTAGTTTGTAAAAAGTGATAGTT